GCCGGGATCAGCCCCGCAGCCCCAGCAGGAACCTCTTCCCCAAGGACACCCTGATGGTCGGACGGGATTGGGATTGGGATTGGGGTTGGGATTTGGGATTGGGATTGGGATTGGGATTGGGATTGGGATTGGGATTGGGATTGGGATTGGGATTGGGATTGGGATTGGGATCGGATCTGGGATCAGAGCCTGGGGCTGGGATCAGAGCCGGGATCAGAGCTGGGATCAGAGCCGGGATCAGCCCCGCAGCCCCAGCAGGAACCTCTTCCCCAAGGACACCCTGATGGTCAGAGATGGGATTTGGGATTTGGGATCAAATCTGGGATCTGGGATCAGATCCAGGATTGGTGGGAAATCTGGGATTGGATCTGGGGGGGATTTCAGGGCCAGATCCCAAACCTGGGGGAGATTCTGGGCTCAGATCCCAGATTTTGGGGGAATTCTGGGGGCAGATCCCAGATCCGGGAGAATTCTGGGATCTGAGCTGGGATTTGGGGGGAATCTGGGATCAGATCCCAAATCTGGGAGGGATTCTGGGATCAGATCCCAAATCTGGGAGGGATTCTGGGGTCAGATCCCAAATCTGGGGGGAATCTGGGGTCAGATCCCAAATCTGGGAGGATTCTGGGGTCAGATCCCAAATCTGGGATCCTGGTGATCCTGGGAACCATTCCCAGGATTTTTGGGCTGAATTCCCAGGATTTTTGGGATCAATTCCTGGAATTTCTGTGATGAATTCCCAGGATTTTTGGGATGAATTTTTGGGCTGAATTCCTAGGGATTTTTGGGCTCAATTCCCAGGATTTTTGGGCTGAATTCCCAGAATTTTTGGGATCAGTTCCCAGGGATTTTTGGGCTGAACTCCCAGGATTTTTGGGCTGAACTCCCGGATTTTTGGACTGAATTTCCAGAATTTTTGGGCTGAACTCCCGGGATTTTTGGGCTGAACTCCCGGGGATTTTTGGGCTGAATTCCCGGATTTTTGGGCTGAATTCTCGGGATTTTGGGCTGAATTCCCGGGATTTTTGGGCTGAATTCCTAGGGAATTTTGGACTGAATTCCCAGAATTTTTGGGCTGAATTCCTAGGGAATTTTGGGATGGATTTTTGGGTTGAATTCTCGGGATTTTTGGGCTGAACTCCCAGGATTTTTTGGCTGAATTCCTAGGGATTTTTGGGCTGAATTCCCAGAATTTTTGGGCTCAACTCCCGGGATTTTTGGGCTGAACTCCCGGGATTTTTGGGCTGAACTCCCAGGATTTTTGGGATGGATTTTTGGGCTGAACTCCCGGGATTTTTGGGCTGAACTCCCAGGATTTTTGGGATGGATTTTTGGGCTGAACTCCCGGGACTTTTGGGCTGAACTCCCGGGATTTTTGGGCCGGATTTTTGGGCTGAATTCCCCGGATTTTTGGGCCGATTCCCGCAGGATCTCTACGTTTACATCTCGGAGCACGAGCACTTTACGGATTTCAACGTCAGCTCCGCCCTTTTCTGGGAAAAACGGGATTTGGTTTACGGCGACTGGACCAGCGGCGAGAACTCCGACGGCTGCTACGAGCACTTCGGGGAGGTGGACATCTCCCAGGTGGGAATTCCCGGAATTCCGGGGGGGTTTGGGAATTCTGGGCTCTGGGAACGGGGATTTGGGACTGGGAAAAGGGTATTTAGGGATGGGAAAAGGGGATCCCAGGTGGGAATTCCCGGAATTCCGGGGGGGTTTGGGAATTCTGGGCTCTGGGAACGGGGATTTGGGACCTGGAAAAGCGGATCCCAGGTGGGATTTCAGGAATTCTGGGATTTTCCTGAAGGATTTGGGATCTGGGAATGGGGATTTGGGATTGGGAGAAGGGAATTTGGGGTCAGGAAAAGGGAATTCTCACGGCTGCTACGAGCACTTCGGGGAGGTGGACATCTCCCAGGTGGGAATTCCCGGAATTCCGGGGGGGTTTGGGAATTCTGGGCTCTGGGAACGGGGATTTGGGACTGGGAAAAGGGTATTTAGGGATGGGAAAAGGGGATCCCAGGTGGGAATTCCCGGAATTCCGGGGGGGTTTGGGAATTCTGGGCTCTGGGAACGGGGATTTGGGACCTGGAAAAGCGGATCCCAGGTGGGATTTCAGGAATTCTGGGATTTTCCCGAGGGATTTGGGACCTGGAGAAGGAATTCCAGGTGGAAATTTGGAATTTTGGACCCTGCCCTTTCCTCCCCCTCCCTTCCCACTGGGAATTTTTGCCCATTTGGGTCCCTTTTAATCCTTTTTTTTCCCAGGGTTTTTCCAAGGTTTTTCCTGGAGTTTTTCCAGGGTTTTTCCCCAGGTTTTCCAGAGGTTTTCCCAAGGTTTTTTTGGGGCTTTTCCATGCTTTTTTTTCTGGGGTTTTTCCAATACTTTTCTAGAGCTTTATCAGGAGTTTTTTCCCAGGATTTTTCCAGGTGTTTTTTCCTGGGATTGTTCCCAAGGTTTTTCCGGGATTATTCCAGGGTTTTTCTGAGGTTTTTCCCAAGGTTTTCCCAGGGTTTTTCCAGGGTTATTCCAGGGTTTTTCTGAGGTTTTTCCCAAGGTTTTCCTGGGGTTTTCCCAGGTGTTTTTCCAGGGTTTTCCCCAAGGTTTTTCCAGGATTATTCCAGGGTTTTTCTGAGGTTTTTCCCAAGGTTTTCCTGGGGTTTTCCCAGGTGTTTTTCCAGGGTTTTCCCCAAGGTTTTCCCAAAGGTTTTTCTGGGGTTATTCCAGGGTTTTTCTGAGGTTTTTCCCAAGGTTTTTCCAGGTTATTCCAGGGTTTTTCCCACGGTTTTTCCAGGTTATTCCAGGGTTTTTCCCAAGGTTTTTCCAGGTGTTTTTCCAGGGTTTTCCCCAAGGTTTTCCCCAAGGTTTTTCCAGGGTTATTCCAGGGTTTTTCTGAGGTTTGTCCCAAGGTTTTTCTGGGTTTTTTCCAGGGTTTTCCCCAAGGTTTTTCTGGGGTTTTTCCAGGTGTTTTTCCAGGGTTTTTCCAGGTATTTTCCAGGTCCTTTCCAGGTATTTTCCCAGGGTTTTCCCCGAGGTTTTTCCAGGGTTATTCCAGAGTTTTTCTGAGGTTTTTCCCAAGGTTTTCCCGGGGTTTTTCCAGGGTTTTCCCCAAGGTTTTCCCCAAGGTTTTTCTGCGGCTTTCCAGGATTTTTCCAAGTGTTTTTCCAGGGTTTTTCCAGGTATTTTCCCAAGGTTTTTCCAGGGTTTTTGCAGGTGTTTTTGCAGGTGTTTTTCCAGGGTTTTCCCCGAGGTTTTTCCAGGGTTATTCCAGGGTTTTTCTGAGATTTTTCCCAAGGTTTTTCCGGGGTTTTTCCAGGGGTTTTCCAGGCCCTTTCCAGGTATTTTCCCAGGGGGTTTCCAGGGTTTTTCCAGGGTTTTCCCAGAGTTTTCCCAGAGTTTTCTCTAAGGTTTTCCCCAAGGTTTTTCTGGGGTTATTCCAGGGTTTTTCTGAGGTTTTCCCCAAGGTTTTCCCCAAGGTTTTTTCAGGGTTATTCCAGGGTTTTTCTGAGATTTTCCCCAAGGTTTTTCTGGGTTTTTTCCAGGGCTTTCCCCGGTATTTTCCCAACTTTTCCAAGTTTTTTTTAGGACATTTTCCCCGGTGTTTCTCGGTGTTTTCCCCACGATTTTCCCGACCTTTTCCATGTTTTTTTCCCCCCCGGATTTGCCCAGAGCGTGCAGCGGAACGGCTCCATCTACGTCCACGTCTACTTCACCAAGAGCGGCTTCCACCCCGACCCGCGGCAGAAGAGCCTCTACCGGCGCCTGGCCACCGTGCACACCTCCAGGAGTACGGAATTCCGGGAATTCCGGGGAAATCCCGGGAATTCCCAGCCATTCCCAACCTTTGGGATCCAAATCCCCCCGGGAATGGCCCCAAATCCCCCGGGAATGGGGTTGGGATCAGCCCCAGGAGCCTCTACCGGCGCCTGGCCACCGTGCACACCTCCAGGAGTACGGAATTCCGGGAATTCCGGGGAAATCCTGGGAATTCCCAGCCATTCCCAACCTTTGGGATCCAAATCCCCCTGGGAATGGCCCCAAATCCCCCTGGGAATGGCTCCAAATCCCTCAGGAATGGCCCCAAATCCCTCAGGAATGGGGTTGGGATCGGCCCCAGGAGCCTCTACCGGCGCCTGGCCACCGTGCACACCTCCAGGAGTACGGAATTCCGGGAATTCCGGGGAAATCCCGGGAATTCCCGACCTTTGGGGTCTAAATCCCCCGGGAATGGCCCCAAATCCGCCTGGGAATGGCCCCAAATCCCTCAGGAATGGGGTTGGGATCGGCCCCAGGAGCCTCTACCGGCGCCTGGCCACCGTGCACACCTCCAGGAGTACGGAATTCCGGGAATTCCGGGGAAATCCCGGGAATTCCCGACCTTTGGGGTCTAAATCCCCCGGGAATGGCCCCAAATCCGCCTGGGAATGGCCCCAAATCCCTCAGGAATGGGGTTGGGATCGGCCCCAGGAGCCTCTACCGGCGCCTGGCCACCGTGCACACCTCCAGGAGTACGGAATTCCGGGAATTCCGGGGAAATCCCGGGAATTCCCGACCTTTGGGGTCTAAATCCCCCGGGAATGGCCCCAAATCCGCCTGGGAATGGCCCCAAATCCCTCAGGAATGGGGTTGGGATCGGCCCCAGGAGCCTCTACCGGCGCCTGGCCACCGTGCACACCTCCAGGAGTACGGAATTCCGGGAATTCCGGGGAAATCCCGGGAATTCCCGACCTTTGGGGTCTAAATCCCCCGGGAATGGCCCCAAATCCGCCTGGGAATGGCCCCAAATCCCTCAGGAATGGGGTTGGGATCGGCCCCAGGAGCCTCTACCGGCGCCTGGCCACCGTGCACACCTCCAGGAGTACGGAATTCCGGGAATTCCGGGGAAATCCCGGGAATTCCCGACCTTTGGGGTCTAAATCCCCCGGGAATGGCCCCAAATCCGCCTGGGAATGGCCCCAAATCCCTCAGGAATGGGGTTGGGATCGGCCCCAGGAGCCTCTACCGGCGCCTGGCCACCGTGCACACCTCCAGGAGTACGGAATTCCGGGAATTCCGGGGAAATCCCGGGAATTCCCGACCTTTGGGGTCTAAATCCCCCGGGAATGGCCCCAAATCCGCCTGGGAATGGCCCCAAATCCCTCAGGAATGGGGTTGGGATCGGCCCCAGGAGCCTCTACCGGCGCCTGGCCACCGTGCACACCTCCAGGAGTACGGAATTCCGGGAATTCCGGGGAAATCCCGGGAATTCCCGACCTTTGGGGTCTAAATCCCCCGGGAATGGCCCCAAATCCGCCTGGGAATGGCCCCAAATCCCTCAGGAATGGGGTTGGGATCGGCCCCAGGAGCCTCTACCGGCGCCTGGCCACCGTGCACACCTCCAGGAGTACGGAATTCCGGGAATTCCGGGGAAATCCCGGGAATTCCCGACCTTTGGGGTCTAAATCCCCCGGGAATGGCCCCAAATCCGCCTGGGAATGGCCCCAAATCCCTCAGGAATGGGGTTGGGATCGGCCCCAGGAGCCTCTACCGGCGCCTGGCCACCGTGCACACCTCCAGGAGTACGGAATTCCGGGAATTCCGGGGAAATCCCGGGAATTCCCGACCTTTGGGGTCTAAATCCCCCGGGAATGGCCCCAAATCCGCCTGGGAATGGCCCCAAATCCCTCAGGAATGGGGTTGGGATCGGCCCCAGGAGCCTCTACCGGCGCCTGGCCACCGTGCACACCTCCAGGAGTACGGAATTCCGGGAATTCCGGGGAAATCCCGGGAATTCCTGACCTTTGGGGTCCAAATCCTCCCGGGAATGGCCCCAAATCCCCCCGGGAATGGCCCCAAATCCCCCAGGAATGGCCCCAAATCCCTCAGGAATGGCCCCAAATCCCTCGGGAATGGGGTTGGGATTGGTTCTGGCCACCCTGCACAGCTCCAGGAGTACGGAATTCCAGGAATTCTTGGGAATTCCCAACCTTTGGGATCCAAATTGCCCCGGGAATGTCCCAAAATCTTCAGGAATGGGGGAATTCCCAGGAATTCCTGACTTTTGGGATCCAAATTCCTCCAGGAATGGCCCCAAATCCCTCAGGAATGGGGGAATTCCCAGGAATTCCCATTTTTTGGGTTCCAAATCGCTTGGGAATTAGGGAAATTCCCAAATTTTGGGTTCCAAATCCCTCCGGAATGTCAGAATTCCTGGTTTTTGGGTTCCAAATCCCTCAAGAATCGGGGGAATTCCCAAATTTTGGGTTCCAGATCCCTCCGGAATGGCGGAATTCCCAGGAATTCCTGTTTTTTGGGATCCAAATCCCTCATGAATGGCTCCAAATCCTTTGGGAATGGGGCAATTCCCAGGAATTCCTGTTTTTTGGGCTCCAAATCCCTCAGGAATCGGGGGAATTCCCAAATTTTGGGCTCCAAATCCCTCAGGAATCGGGGGAATTCCCAAATTTTGGGTTCCAAATCCCTCGGGAATGGGGTTGGGATCAGCCCTGGGAGCCCTGGGAGTGCGGAATTCCAGGAATTCCTGGGAATTCCTGACAATTCCTGATTTTCCAGCCCCTAATCCACCGGGCTCAGCCCCATTCCCAGCTGGAATTCCCTGATCCAAAAGCTCCGGATCAGCCCCGGAATTCCCAAAATTCCAACCCCCAAAGTTTGGGAATTTTCCCGGGAACGCTCCAGGTTCCCTCCTGCTTTTCCATCCTTGGGATTTACGGGATGGAGGGGGCAAAAATCCCACAAAAATTCGGGATTTTGGGGGGGAATCCCAACTTTTCCACAGCTCTTTAAACCTTGGATTTCACGGGACGAAATTCCCAAATTTTCCCCAATTTTTCCTCCCCCAAAAATCCTAAAAAAAATCATTAAAAAACCCCCAAAAATCAAAAATCTTCTCCTCCCCCAGCATCCCAAACTCTTCCCTGGCGTTGCAATTCCCAAATCCCGGGGGAAAATCCGGGATTTTTTTGGGAATTCCCAATTTTCCCTGGAAAAATTCCAATTTTTCCCATTTTTTTCCCCCCCAGTGATCAACAAATACAAACGGCGGCGATTCCAGAAAACCAAAAACCTCCTGACGGGCGAGACCGAGGCCGACCCCGAGATGATCAAGGTGGGAATCCCCAAATTTGGGGAATTTGGGGGATTTTGGGCCATTT